CACATTCCCTCTCTCCTCAACCACCACCCCTTCCTCCTCTTTCTCCGCCGCTGCTTCCTCGGCCGCCTCCGCAGGTAGGTATCTTGTTGTAATTTATAATAATAATTCTTATTCTTATTGTTGAGAAAGAAGTAAGATTCTCTTTACACGGATTTTTTTTTCTTTTGGGGATTTTGATTTGATTTTTAAGGGGCTAGGGTTTGCTTATTTTTCTTGATTTTCTCATCTGGGGTTCGTGATTTTGAGGGCATTTGTGCGAAAGATTTCTGGGTTCTGTCTTGCGAAGTCGTTGCGAGCACTGTTTTGATCTAATTTCTTCTTCTGGGCAGTGAAAATTTGTGATTTTGCAAGTATTCTTTGTTGGGGAAATTGATGCTATAATCTAGTTGGGTGTCAGGGTTTTTTCAATTATAGTTCTTCTCTACGGACGTTGAGGGCTTCCCACAACTAAAGGAAGTTTTTTGCTATCTGGGCATTGGGAAAAAGGAAAAAACAAAAATTAATGTTTCATTCTCAGGGTTCTTCGAAATAAACTTGTAGTCTTCTTGCAGTCACTTGTGGGAAAGTCTTTGAATCCAAATGCAAAAAGGATGTGCCGGAGAATCGGTCGTTGTATCCTTTCCCGGAGTTGATAGGGAGGGGATACGACATCTCAACAGATCTACAGCTCAAGTACTGCAAAGGAGGAGACTCCTCTGATTCGCGTTTGATCGAGATTCATGAAGACGATGGCCGTGAAATCGTTTTGCCCAGTGGAATTACAATCTCGAATGTTTCTAAATCCATCCAATGCGATAAAGGCGAGCGAATGCGGTTTAGGTCCGATGTTCTCTCTTTCCAACAGGTATTTCTTCTTCAAGTTTTGTTGTCGTTTATTCTTAATGATGATTTCTTAATCTCTCACCATAACTCATAAGAGATCACTTTCTCCTGCAAATTGGCATGCTTTCTCATGCATATGAACTATGAAGTTGGGAATATGTTACTTGTCGTTTTATTTTCTCCTTTGCCACTCGTATGCATTCTTATGCATGAGAAGTCTTGGCAAAAGTAATATTTGCCCACTAATCTATGTTTGACACTATTTAAAAGCGTACCAAAAAGAGGAAAAATCATGAAGAGATGAAGGAATGCATGCCAATTTTAGTAAACTTGGATCGGTGAGATCCACCTGTCATTCAATAAATACCTGCCATGTTCAGGTATAATTGTGATCCAATGGAGATGGATGTTTCTTTCTGGGCACTTTAATAACCATTGGTATTAAGAGATTTCATTGAATGTATTGTAGCTTTCTCTGTTTCAGTAACTAACCGCATTTTTTCTCACTCCCAGATGTCAGAGCAGTTCAACCAGGAAATTTCTTTGACTGGAATAATTCGTTCGGGCCTCTTCAATGCAATGTTTGATTTCTCAGGTTGTTGGCAGAAAGATGCAGCCAACCATAAGACCCTTGCTTTTGATGGGGTGTTCATCATGCTATACATTATTGCATTGGAAAAGTCTCAGATGGTACTACGTGAGGAAAAGACAGAAAGGAGGACAGTTACTTCCAAACAAACAATTGCAGAAACTAGACTTTCATTGATGATTTCCAACTGAAAAGAAACATGGGCAAGTTTTATGGTCCTGAGATATAGGAGCATCCACGATTCTGTGGGTTATCTGCCAAGGAAAAACAAGACACCCACAATTCTCAATGCATTATTTAAAGAATGTAGCCTCTACCTAGCTACCCCAATAGAAAATGTAAAGACAAAGTTATATGATAAATCTCATTGGTACACTTTTCCTTTTGTGTGTGTGTGTGTGTTTTTTTTTTTTAATGTGTTCATGATCCGTGATACCTAACTCAATTGATACTATACTTTGTCTGAAGAAACACAGTTAAAGAAATCAAAAAGAGTGGGTGTGTATGTGGAAGTGATTAATTAGAAGAAACAAATCAATAACATGAAATATAATAAATCAGCCAATATACATATTAAGGATGAGTCTCTAATCCGGCACATCAATTTTATTTGATTGATCTGCTCAAAAATTGTGGCCATTAGATTAAAAAATGGACGGTGTAGATGAAAGTTTATTTTCATGCGTCTCTCAAGTGCACTCCCACTCCCACAATCAAACCCATTTCTCTCTCGACCTTCATCAACCACCTCCGCAGCCATCTCGCTGTCGGTGACTTCTGACAGACAGACGAAGAGACCCACCACCTCACGACAACGCCCGCAACTAAACTTTTTTTGGTTGATTATGTAACGACCCTGCTGAGTTGGCTTTCACTGAAACTAACTTTAACATATACTTTTTGAAACTCTCAAAATTTGAGACTTTTTAAAAAAAAAAAAAATACTATTGATTAATCCCTGAACTTTGCGTTTTCTTTGAGCAAAACTTTAGATACTAATAATAAAAGGAACAATGATTTTAAAAATTTAATGGTAATTACATATGCTCATCGCGTGATAAGTTCAAATTTTACAAAAAAATCATATAAGGAACACAATTTTACCTTCAATGCTAGTTAAAACGTTTGAAACCCACAACATTGTACTTTTGTAAATATACAAGACTTATGATGAATTGTACAACTTCCGTATGTAAATATACAAGACATATGATGAATTG